TATAAGCATTTAAAACTTTCAGTTTCCCTCTAGGGAATTCCCCGGTGGTCCAGTGGTTAAGACTCTGTGCTTCCACTGAAGGGGGCATGGGTTTGATCCCTGGTCCCGGAACTAAGATCCTCCATGCTGCGCAGCATGGCCAGAAAAAAAAAGGAAATTTCCCTCTCAAAATTTTGATGTGTTGAAAAAGAAAATTTTTTTGATGTGTTGTGTTTCCATTTCTGTTTAGTTCAAAGTATTTGTAATTTCCCTTGTGGTTTCTTCTTTTATCCATGAATTATTTAGAAATGTATTATTTACATACAATACAAAATATTTGGGAATTTTTCAAATATCTTTCTGGTATTGGTTTATAATTTAATTTCATTGTGGTCAGAGGTCATACTTTGTGTGACTTCAGTCTTTTTAAATTTATTGAGACTGAAACCTATTTTGTCTGATATTGATATAGCCACTCTAGCTTTCTTTAAAAAAAATTTTTTTTAATACCATGCAATTTCTTTTTTAAAAAAATTTATTTATTTTATTTTATTTATTTTTGGCTGCGTTGGGTCTTCATTGCTGTGCGCAGGCTTTCTCTAGTTGTGGCGGGTGGGGGCTGCTCTTCATTGCAGTGCACGGGCTTCTCATTGCAGTGGTTTCTCTTGTTACAGAGCACAGGCTCTAGGTGTGCGGGCTTCAGTAGTTGTGGAGTGTGGGCTCAATAGCTGTGGTGCACGGGCTCAGTAGTTGTGGTGCACGGGCTTCTGTAGTTGTGGCGCATGGGCTCAGTAGTTGTGGTGTGTGGGCTCTAGAGCACAGGCTCAGTAGTTGTGGCGCCCAGGCTTAGTTGCTCCGCGGCATGTGGGCTCTTTCTGGACCAGGGCTCTAACTTGTGTCCCCTGCATTGGTAGGCAGATTCTTAACCACTGTGCCACCAGGGAATCCCTAGCTTTCTTACGATCAGTATTTTCATGATATATATATTTCACACTTTTACTTTTAACCTATCTGTGTTCTGTCCAACGCTTGTGCTCAATTGTCCTATATTTTACTCCTACATATGTCCACAACACATTAGTATTGTTTTTGCTTTAGACAGTCATTTTTCTTTTCTTTTCCTTTTTTTTCTTTATTTTTTCCCGGCCATGCTGCGTGGTCTGCGGGATCTTAGTTCCCTGACCAGGGATCAAACCCGGACCACGGCTGTGAAAGTGCTGAGTCCTAACCACTGGACCACAAGGGAATTCCCAGTCTTTTTTCTTTTAAAGACATTTAAAAAACAAGATAATCCTTTTATATTTTCCCAGATATTTAACATTTCCAGTGCTCTTCATTCATTTCTATGGATCCAAGTTTCCATCTGGTATTGATTTCTTTCTTCCTGAAAAAGTTCCTTTAATATTTCTTTTAGTGCATGTCTACTATCACTGAAAATCTCTCTGCTTTTGTTTACCTGAAAAAGGCTATATTTCATTTTTATTTTTGATATTTTCAGTGGGTATAGAATACTACATTTACAGGATTTCCCCCCCAGCATTGTTATGTGTGTTATCTCACACGTACAAACACACATTGTATGTGTGTTTTCTTGTTTGCATAGTTTCTCATGAAAAGTCTTTGATAATTCTTATATTTGTTCCCCTGTCAGTAATTTGCCTTTTGTCCATTTTCTGAAAATTATTGTTTCCTATAAATTTTCCAGTTTTCAAATATTTTTTTACAGCAGAAGGGTAAATCTGAACCTTGTTACTACCTCATCACTAGAAGCTGAAGTCTCCAGAAGCTTTTGATTATTATGTAGTGAAATGTAGTAGTTTTTTCTTTTATATTTAAATCCTTTTTGTATTCTGGCTAAGAAATCTTTGCCTGTCCCGAGGTCATGAAGATATCTGCCTTGTTTTCTTCTAGAAGCTTTATAGTTTTAAAGCTCGTATTAGGTCTATGGTTCACCTCAAATTAATTTTTGTGTATGTGTGAGATAGGATTCCAGTTTCATTTTTTAAGATGTTGTTCCATCCCCTTTTATTGAAAAGCCTTCTTCCCCACCCCCAATGAATTGCATTGACATTTTTGTGAAAAAATGGCTGCATATGTGTGGGTGTATTTATGAACTAACTTATTATTCTATTCCTTTGGTCACTAATAACACACTGTATTGATTACTATAGTTTATGGTTAAAGTTTTAAAATCAGTAAGTCCTCCAATTTTGTTGTTCTCCAAGATTATCCTGGATATGCTAGTTCCTTTGCAGTTCCTTATATATTTTAGCTAAAGCTTGTCAATTTTGGAGAAAAAACAAATTCTATTGGTATTTTGATAGAGATATCTGATTCTCAGGTAATACTGATGGCCATGAATCTCAAGTGGCCCCATTGTGAAATCCAGCAGGCATAGTACATTTCCTTATATTAAAAAAAGGAACTTTTTTACACAGTGCTCCTTACCTCTTATTTACCAGAACTGAGCTGTACGCTCATCTCTAAACAAATGAAAAGAAGAATGAGATTCCCTATTTAAAACCAATCCAGATTCATTTTTTAGAGCTAGTATATGGGTGACTTTCTTCATACCAAGAGATCTTTGCTTACTATCGGAACAAATAAATTCTGTAAAAAAAGAACAAGTGGGAGGAAGGGCCGTAAAGTATGGCTGTTGAGTGGACAACAAAGATTGACTGCCATCTAAACAAAAGACACTCCATGTGTGAGTGTGTGTTGTGTGACTGTATATGCATGCAGAAAATGTGGAAGGCTAAAAACCCAGTAGTTGGCACATGCTACATCACAGCTGGGAAAGGAGCCCTAATGTGGATATGTAGATGAAGGCAGGAGAGGATGAAAGCAAAAAAAAAAAAAAAAAAAAGTGTCCGAAAAATACATAGATCACATGTATGCATTTATATAAAATTCTATACATCTGTGAGTACATAAATCAAGCAGAAGATTATAAAAGCGATTCTAACCCCATCCAAAACAAAGGTCATTTCTGGGGGCAAAATATTAGCAGCATGGCTGAGCACTTGCATTCAAGCAAAAGATAAATAAATGAACCATGAGTGAATGAATATATCTGTAAGCAGCCACAATAAATGTTCCATCTAAACAGACAAATAAAAACAAGTCTGTAAGCAGCCAAAATAGATGTCTTGTTGTCCACATATTAAGATCATATATGCTACCAACTGGACAGTCACTCAGCCCTCACTCCTACTACAATTATCCAACAATTCTAACACCTTGAGTCTTTGATTTTTAAGTCCAAGCACATTGAAGGTAGCAAAATAGGGAAGGAGGCTGCTAGGGATAGGCAAACTGACAGCAATGTGAAGTGGTCGCTGACAGGCTGACAGTGAGGAAGGAGACAGAAAAATCTGTAGAAAGCAGACACAAGAACTCATCAAGGCAAAGCTGTCAGGGCCATTCTTTTTAAAGGAAACTAGTTCTAGGCACCTCCATAACCCCCAGTGACATCCGTTTTACAGCAAGTCACAACAAGGCTGCTGTAATGTCACACCCCAGTTAACAAGGAAACTGAGGGTGTGTGCCACATTCTTTAAGAAAGCAAGAAAGCATATGATAGAATGGAGGACAATAGCTATGCCTTTTTTGAGAAAGGAACTCAGTTCACTCTGTGACTTTCAAGGCACAGCCTTCAGTTCTCTACTGGATGCACCAGCTGGAGTCTGCAGCCCTCTCCAGGCTAACCTATTTAAAACATTTCCTGCCTCATTTTCAATTAAGGTGCCACATAAGTGGACAATTTGTTATCAGTTACAAAAGGGATGGTGAGGCAAGTCCATGTGTGAACATTTTCAAGGGAAATGTCTGAGAAAGTGTTTCTTAAACTCTTAAACATCCTTCCCCACTTTGAGATGATAAAAGTGGTCAGGTTACAAAGAGAGAGGAATTGGTGTAAGGAGATTGCTAATGAGAAAGTGGCTGCTTCCAACCCACATAATTGGGAAGTGAGATTAGGGGTAGAGGAATACGACCCTCCCATTCAGCAAACTTTTGGTTTGGTCATCACCTTTTCATAAATGAAGTTTTGGGACTTCCCTGGTGGCGCAGTGGTTACGAATCCGCCTGCCAATGCAGGGGACATGGGTTCGAGCCCTGGTCTGGGAAGATCCCACATGCTGAGGAGCAACTAAGGCCATGTGCCACAACTACTGAGCCTGCGCCCTGAGCTCTGAGAAGCCCGTGCAGGGCAGCAAAGAGTAGTCCCTGTTCTCCACAGCTAGAGGAAGCCTGCGTGCAGCAATGAAGACCCAACGCAGCCAAAAAATAGATAATTTTTTTAAACAAGAATATGCTACAATAAAAAATAAATAAATAAATAAAGTTTTACTGAGACACAATCATGCTGATTGGGTTACGTATTATCTATATTGTCCATATACTGTGTTTCAAGCTACAACACAGAACTGAGTAGTTATGACACAGACCTGGAGCCCACAAAGCCTAAAATATACTACCCAGCTCTCTTCAAGCAAAGTTTGCTGACTTCTAATCTCATGCTTCATGAGGAAGACTTCAGGGGTCACTGGGAGAGTTTTGAAATGTGTTCTGTGGAGGGTGGGAGACAGGTATAAACCACGTCTAAGGCAACTAACGTAGCCCATGGGCTGGGGGTCTGACTCCTAAGGAATCTAGAGGGTAAGATCTCTCCTGGTGGCAGAACCAGGGTTGTGACGCCTGGATCCAGGGTGGGTAGGGGAAGTGACTCTGAGTGTTTCCTGAGGACCACTCAGGATTGAGTGGGAGACGGAAAGCAGTGGTGTGGTTCATTTGGGGTCTTATTGGATAGGCCACCTGGAGACCTTGACAGAAAGAGGTGACCAGGTATTGCATGCCCAGAGATTAAAGAAGGAATTGCAAGAGACCACACAGAATAGGTACATCCTTCATGGTCAAAGGAAGAGGGGAAGAAAAGGATCCAGAAAAAAACCTCTAAAGAACCCATCAAAACACCCATGAGAGAGATCCGGCACTAACCATCTGTCAGCCCTGAGACTCACCATGAAACCACCAGCCAAATGAGAGCTGGTCTAGACGCCTTCTCTCCTCCTTCCCCACTCCTGCTTCACCGTAGTGGCACCACACTAACAACTGGCAAGTTGGGGAGGACGTGAGCAGGGGCAGAGGAGGAGCAGAAGCTTCCAGACAAAAAGTCAAGGAAGGGTGAGGATTTAACACTGTCGAGTTGAGTTTTCTGCCATTCTAACTAGTAAATTGAAACTGTGACTTAAGGTGACTCATTTATTACCTAGAAATGAGTAGAAAAGCTCTAGGACCTCCTAGAGTTTCATCAAGGCTCGTGAGAAGACTAATTTCACTGAGGAGAGGTTGAAGGGGTGAGGGGAAACACAGAACTAAGGTTTCGTTTGTGGCGCGATTCAGGCTTGTTCAACATATGGGATATGATAACTAATATTTATGAGCACTCACACGCGCCAGACGCCATGCCAGGCACTTCTCATGCGTGAGCACATTTAATCCTCCCATAAAGTCTCTACTGTTAAGCCAGCTTTATGGGTAGGGAACCAAGACAAAGGAAAGATAAGCTGTGGTCCACAGTCTCACAATTAGCAAGTGGCAGAGATGAGATTCAACCTCAGGCAGCCTAAAGCCAGCCCGAGCTCCCAATCACTATGTCATGCTGCCTGGTAGCATAGCAACCCAAGAGTTGGTTCTCTAAAGGTTTGTTATTTGCTGAGAGGTTTGTTTGTTATTTGCTAGAACCAGAGGGTCATCTGTTTGGTTCTCCTATCAGAGCCTGCCACAGACTCTATGGTATCCCAAATGGCCAGATCCATGTCAGGCCTCATTGGATTAGCTGGATCACAAGTGCTAAATGGCAGAGTTGCTGATACTACAGCTTGGACCAGCTCTGGACCTTCTTCCTCTCAAAACTGAGAGTTGAGTCACCCATGGAGTCAGATGGCACACCCAACGTATTATACAAGTCTAAAGTCCACAAACATGGCACCTGATTCCCAGTGATAGGGCTTGCAAGGTACAAGAGTGTACTCTTGGACAGAGAGCCCTACATGTCCTCCATTATTGGACCCCTTCCCCCAACTCTTCCTCAAATCCACTACCCCAAATCTGATGTAGTTTTATGAGATTTAACTTCCACGCTTTTTAAAAATTGATAAATTAATTTATTTTTGGCTGTGTTGGGTCTTCGTTTCTGCGCGAGGGCTTTCTCTAGTTGCAGCTAGCAGGGGCCACTCTTCATCGCGGTGCACGGGCCTCTCACTATCGCGGCCTCTCTTGTTGCGGAGCACAAGCTCCAGATGCGCAGGCTCAGTAGTTGTGGCTCACGTGCCTAGTTGCTCCGCGGCACGTGCGATCCTCCCAGACCAGGGCTCGAACCTGTGTCTCCTGCATTGGCAAGGCAGATTCTCAACCACTGTGCTACCAGGGAAGCCCAACTACCACGTTTTTGTTTTTGTTTTTGTTTTTTTTTGCGGTACGCGGGCCTCTCACTTGTTGTGGCCTCTCCCGTTGCGGAGCACAGGCTCCGGACGCGCAGGCTCAGCGGCCATGGCTCACGGGCCCAGCCGCTCCGTGGCATGTGGGATCTTCCTGGACCGGGGCACGAACCCGCGTCCCCTGCATCGGCAGGCGGACTCTCAACCACTGCGCCACCAGGGAAGCCCAGCTTCCACGCTTTGATGTGAATTGTCTAACCCAGTCATCCTGGGTGTCTGCTACTTCAGCTCCCTGGATTCTGTCAACTTGATGTCCTTTGGACAACTGAGGTTCCTGTAGACCAAACTGTGGCACAGTATCAGAGAAGTAACATAATACTGAAGTAAGACAGTAAAGGTGTACTATCGTCCTTGCCAGGTAAAACAAGCAAACAAACACCTGCTTCTCGTGTTCTTTGTGTGTTGGGATAGAGAAAACACGCTTTTGGCAAATTCATAGATGCATACCAAGTGCCAGGGTCTCTGTACGTTTGCTTTTGCCAAATGAAGCCTGCTGGAGCAGCAGATGTAACTGATTACGATTATAATAATCTATTGTTACTCCCCAAGACCAATCTGGTTTTCTTCACTGGCTGAACTAGAAAGTTAAATGGGAATGTGGTAGCAATCATCACCTCTGGATCTTTCAGGTCTTTTAATCTCTGAAATTCTTCTAGGGATGTGATGTTACTTATGATGTGCTATTTTATGTAGGGAGAGCTCCATCAGTTTGCACTTGGCCATTCCTATCATAATGACCCTTATTTCATGGATTAGAGAGCCAAAGTGGAGAATTACTCTGTTGTGTGTATCGGTTCCAGTTATACCTTTGTAAGCTGAGGAAATAAATACAGGTTTGGGGGCTCTTTGAGCCTAATGAAGACAAACTTAAGTCAAAACTCAATTTATTATCTTACTCCCCATAAATCTTCTCTCTGACTGGTAGACAACAGTGGTCTTCTGCTTGCATAGGAATTAGCATTACTAGCAGACCCAGTTTCTGACAATGCTCTGAAGATCTAGGTACTTTCCCTTCTCTAGTACACATTTATTCTGATTAATGATGGTAATTGTTTTGGAGGAAGATCAAAATGAGGATTTTCAATATATATTTGTGATCATATTGTAGTGTTCCTCATCAACAGTTCCTGACCTTTCCTTCATTCAAGAGGCTCCGGGTCTGTAAACTAAGTCAGGTCTAGCATTTGAGAATCTCTACTGAAGTGTCTCAGACCATGCCTCTGTTTATGAGCTCCTTATGATTTTGGTCCTAGAAATTCCATGGTCAATTAACTATGGTGAAAGATCCCTTCCAGGCAGACCATTCAGATTCTATTCTCACCCTGCTTCCTTGGGTCACTTGCTACTGATTCATCTCTGGGGATGGCTGAGGGAAGGAGAGGTGTCCAGTTGACCAAGTCTAGGTCATTTGCTCACACCCTAGCCACAAAAGTGCCTGGGGACCGACAAGTCTGTTTTTCAGTTTCAATCATAGGTAATTAGAGTTTGCTTTCCACCAGAATTTATAATCTGGGAAAATAAATCCAGATTCTTATCCAAAACATAAGGAGGTTCAGAGCCTACTCAGCCAAAAACAATGACAAATGCCTCCTCTGATCCATTTCATCCCTTTGCTGTCTAACGACTATGAAGTTTAGAAGATTAATCCCAACTCCAAAGGTAGTGCATGCTTTATCCAAGACAAGTGTAATAATGTAATCCTGCTTGCTAGTGATTTGTTCAGAAATGCGGATATTAGCCACTTAGCACAGGGTGTTCCTCTGACCTCAAAGGTTGGTTCAAGAATAGGCATCTGACACATTTAGTCCAATGAGATGCAAGATGACGTGTTCTGGGGGATTCTGGGGAAAAGTTTCTCATGTTCCAGGGACTGACAGAAAGGAAGACAATAGCATGTTCTGTATGTGATGCCTGCAACCATCTTGATACCAGCCTGAGAATGAAGCTGCCGTAGGATGGTGAGCAGAACCAAGAGAATCTTAGAAAAACTGAACTGGATCTGTTGGATTAAACCAACCCTGAAGCCTGCTCTACTTCTGGACTTAAAATTATGAAAGCCAATACATTTCCTTATTGTTGAAGCCAGTTTATGCTGGGTATTCTGTTATTCATAATTGAGAATATCCTAATTGATTCAATATAAAATCTTCTGCATTTATATCTCCTAATGGCATCCTCCAGAACTGGTATTCCTTTATAATAATCACTACTGTCCTGCAAGATGGGAGTGGCTAGAATCTGGACTAAGATGGCAATATAACATGTGTGAATATTGACATGAAAGGAATTAAATAGATTAAAGAATGATTGAGGGACTTCCCTGGTGGCACAGAGGTTAAGAATCTGCCTGCCAATGCAGGGGACACAGGTTCGATCCCTGGCCCAGGAAGATCCCACATGCCGGGGAGCAGCTAGGCCTGTGGGCCACAACTACTGAGCCTGCGTGTCACAACTACTGAAGCTCGCATGCCTAGAGCCCGTGCTCCGCGACAAAGAGAAGCCACTGCAATGAGAAACCCACATACCACCCACTCGCCACAACTAGAGAAAGCCTGCGCTATGCAATGAAGACCCAACGCAGCCAAAAATAAATACATAAATAAATAAATTTATTTTAAGAAAGAAAGATTGAAATGTATAGTTTTATAATGAAAGAAATACACTTTAATTACCAAAAATTTTATGTTGACAACTCAGTTCCAAGTAATACAAATAAATGGGCACTATTAAGCATTTAGAAAATACTTATGCAAGTAAAATAATAAACCTACCTATGCCTCACTGTACCACGTCCCTCACATTGAGCTACTTTACTCTTATGAAGCCTTGGACAGAGTCCAGGGAATTGGTTTTTAATACGATCTTAGGCAGGTGAACTTGATTCCCTGAATCTTAGATTTCTAGTATGCAAAACAATTGTTGTTAGCATCAAATTAATTCATACATGTAAAAAATCATTTTAGAGCCCAGGGCATTGACGAGGCAGGTTTTATTTATTTTAAAATTTTTTTATGGGCTTCCCTGGTGGCGCAGTGGTTTAGAGTCTGCCTGCCGATGCAGGGGACATGTGTTCGTGCCCTGGTCTGGGAGGATCCCACATGCCGCGGAGCGGCTGGGCCTATGAGCCATGGCCGCTGAGCCTGCGCGTCCGGAGCCTGTGCTCCGCAGCGGGAGAGGCCTCAACAGTGAGAGGCTCGCGTAACCCCCCAAAAAAAAAAATTTTATTAGAAGTTGTCAACTAAATTCTAATTTATTTTTAATATATGGAAGCATTTATATTTCTTTTTTAAAATTTCTTTTAAAATTTTATTTTATTTTTGGCTGCGTTGGGTCTTCCTTGCTGCTCGCAGGCTTTCTCTAGTTGCGGCGAGCAGGGGCTGCTACTCTTCGCTGTGGTGCGCGGGCTTCTCATTGCAGTGTCTTCTCTCGTTGCAGCACGGGCTGTAGGCACACGGGCTTCAGTAGTTGTGGTGCTCTAGAACTCTAGTTGTGCTCTAGAGCACCGGCTCAGTAGTTGTGGCACACGGGCGTAGTTGCTCCACGGCATGTGAGATCTTCCTGGACCAGGGCTTGAACCTGTGTCCCTTGCACTGGCAGGCGGATTCTTAACCACTGCACCACCAGGGAAGTCCAAGAGGCAGGTTTTATGTTTGAATTCT